GTCCTTAATAAAGCTCTAATGAGCTATTTCTTATTCAATCAATCAATCAATCTTTTTTTTTTTTTGAAACTTTATTCAATCAATCTTATTGAGCTCTTATTAGCTAGAATAATCCTTGCTATGAATTTGCGACTATCGAACGCTTTTGTTTTTTTTGTTAACATAAAGCATAACCAATGCATGTAAACGCTAGCTAAAAAATGGATTTCAATTGTACAATTACGGTAACCAATAATCAAATGCATTACCGATCAAGACAACAACATTAAGAAAAAACTGATTATACGTCAAAATGATAATTAATCTATATATTTCCAGGCTAATAAGTCAACTACTTTACGATATTTCGGTTAAAACTAACTTTGATACAGTGTTTGTATGGTCTTACGCAATCATTGTGCCGTTTATTAAGCACCAAACATACAATACACACATTTAGTTCCGGTTATCCAAGTTATGATTTTGGATTTTATGGAACATATATTGCATAAGAAATTTGAAAAAAAAAAAAATTATATACCGTGCCCGTTCCTTTGAAAAAAATAATAATTATATAACAATCGAATTGTATAAATATAGTCAAATAATTAGGTGCTGGAGGGCATGACGAATCCGAGCAAAATTATGACAGTCTTTCATCCATAAAATATTCATAACTATATATATTTTAAACGCAGTCAATTAAGTAGACTCGTTACTTCTTCTAAATTATCGATAGAACCAATATAATTTGATATGGATGTGGAATAGACTTCAAGTAAGAGTCGACAAATTTGTTCGTTTTTATTCCATATATATTAGTATAGCAAAGTTTCTAAAGCTGTTAGCGCGTAGTCTGTCTGCTCTAAANGAAGTCGATTTATTGATTCGTCCTTCTCGGATCCGAGGAGCTCTCTTCGCTACGATCTTTCGGAAATCTTTCTTATTCACCATTTCAGTTCTTTGTAATTCATGTTAATAAGCAATTAAATATAATGCTGATGAAAAATAATTTCATTGTTGTATCAAATAAAAACGGAGAGGTAGTAAATGAATAAACTTTTCAATCTTTAGATCAAATTCATGCAAAACATTCACTTATTGCTAAAGTAGCAAGATCCAAATATTACAAAGTAGCACAACACACACATATACACAGACTATTATTCTTCTTATTTTTGGTACATTGGTTTAATTATTTCATAACCAAGAACAGAGTAACTGAAGCAATCGTTTTTTTTCATTCATATCCTGAAATTCGATAGATGCGATGTTCCATCGAGACCTTTCGCAAAATATCCCTGTGTATACTCTGTTAGGGTTATGTCTCTGTATTTTGGAGGGTTTTCTTCAGACACAAGCTCTTTCATCGGACCATAAACTGTGGAATTGGGAAGTGCACTTGAGCTGAAAAAGCATGCTATGGAAATCCTTGTCTCTTCTCTATTCGCGAGTACTCTATGCTCCACGCTTACAAACTTATCGTTCGTTATCAGCTGCAAAATCAAACCCCACTTATTATAAACAAAAACATTTGAAGTCTAGGTCTCTGTTGTTTTTTCTTCAAGATTTTTACTTTACCTGCAAGAAATCTCCGATGTTGATGACGAGAGCTCCAGGAAGAGGAGAGACATCAACCCAAGAGTCTTGATGAAGAATTTGGAGACCACCAATGTTGTCTTGAAGAAGAACCGTGAGGAAAGAGTTGTCTGAGTGTTTACTTATCCCTAAAGTTAGGTCAGGTTGTGGACAAGGTGGGTAATAATTGCAGATCATAAGCACAGTCTTTAAGCAATCCATACTCTTAAGGATATCAGATCTCAAACCTAGTGCTTCAGAGAGAAGCTCAAAGAGCAAACCACCTAAACTCATCACATGTGTTGAAAATTCCATCATAGCATCCCTGAGTCAATCATTAATGATGTCAAAAATCAATCACTATCTGTTTAAGTAAAACAAAGTCTACACTTTGAGTTTATTTTTCTCATTTCTGGATAAATTGTTGCTGAAAAAAATTAAATTGATTAAAAATATAATAACAACTTCTTTAAAAATCATTAAAACTATTAGTATCCGGACCTAGATAGAATCATATCAAACCGAGATTTATATGGTATTGGGGTTTTATTTTTTGGTGTTTATATATCATAAACTGAACCGAAAATCGGATTGAACACTCTAGACGCATATTCTTCTTAGCCACTGCAAAATTTATATGGCTACTGCAACTCAATTAGAAAAGAAACAAAAAAAGTGTTTTTGTTACCTGCAAGTCACTGGGAGGTCCTCAGGAGATGGAGGATCTGGAGCCATGTAACAAGAGAAAGCATCTCTCCAATTAACAGACGGAGAAGCACTATATAGATCGAAATTACTATTGTATACAAATTTGTTTTTGTTGAAATCGCGCGAGAAATACGATTTCTTGACCTCGGGATCTTCCTCGTGAAACCTAAGACCTCCATCTTTCATCTCTTCAAGAACGTTTAAAGGAACACCATGATTGATCACCTGGAAGAATCCCCACTTCTCCGCCGCGTATCTGACTTTCTCCACGACGGCTTCACGTGATGCCTTGTCCACGTGGACGTTTGCAAAGTCGATGGTAGGGATCTCTAGGTCTGAAACAGAGGGGTTCTTGTCGGTTAAGGAACCTTGAGAGACGTGGAAGATACGAGGTACTTGGGTGATTTTAGCACCCACGAGTCCTTTTACTCCTTCTTTTGTCTCGTCGAAAGCTTTTCGCTCGATATAAGGATCGAATTCGATCGAGTTTTTGGTCACCATTTTTTTGTTTGTTCTTTCTTTTTCACAAGATTTTTGCTTAGGAGAAGAAATTGCAGAGTGAGGACAAGAAAAAGGACTATTGTAGGAGTTTCGTTGTTTGTGTGTGGGACCGACTTTGTCCGTTTTTGTGGATTCTTGACTGTAACTGATGACTACATGCATGAAATGTTGTCTCTTTATTTTTTTAAAATTTTTTTGTTCTTCTCACAATCACTTTAACGACTAGTCGTAGTTGAGCTACTCTTCTCCGCTTTTGTAGAGCATCACCAACCTCACTCTCCAAGTTTTATTGTAGACCTTGAATTCAAAGCTCTTTTTTTTTTTTTTTATTAAAAAGTTTGGACCTAAGCTCGTAGTTTTCTCGGACGACTTGGTCAGTGCTCAAATTGGTGACTTTGAAAACACTTTTCTTTGAATGGCAGCTAATACGCTGGTAGAGTTACCCATTAACTTGTTATTACTTCTTCTAATTTTATGTGGTATCGATAAAATTATCTGCATATATGATACTATGATAGAGTATAACTTAATATGGATGTGACAATTTTGTTAGTTCTCCGTTCCATATATATAAACAAGCAAATTAAAAGATTGGTATGGTATTCTCTTGATGCTAAGGATAAAAAAACTTCATTGTTGTCTCAGTTCTTGAACATGAACTGAAAAAGTAGTAAGCAAATAAAGTTTTGAATCTTTAGATCAAATCAGTGCAATGCACTCACTGATATGTAGTCCGATACTTGTGGGTAAAGTAAAAAGATCCAAATCCAGAGTGTATATACAAATATACGCGCGCGCACACACACGCTATTCTTTTTTATTTTTGGTACATTGTTTTAATTATTTCAGAGCCAAGAACGGAGTAATTGATGCTATGAAACACACAAATTTCTTTATGTGGCTAATTTTTTCATATCCTGAAATTCAAGAGATGCGATGTTCCTTCAAGACCCTTCTTAAAGTATCCTTCTGAGTATTCTTTTATGGTTATGTCTCTGTATTTTGGAGGGTTTTCTTCAGACACAAGTTCTTTTATCGGTCCATAAACTGTGGAATTCGGAAGTAGACTTGAGCTGAAAAAGCTCGCTACTGAAATCCTTGGTCCTTGTCTATTCGCAAGCACTCTATGCTCCACGCTTACAAACTTATCGTTCGTTATTAGCTGCAAAATCAAACTCAAAATGTATATAGAAAAGACATTTACCTTTAAGGTATTTGTTTTTTTCCTTCAAATTCTTACTTTACCTGCAAGAAATCTCCAATGTTGATGACGAGAGCTCCATGAAGAGGAGCAACATCGATCCAAGAGTCTTGATGAAGAATCTGAAGACCACCAATGTTGTCTTGAAGAAGAACCGTGAGGAAAGAGTTGTCTGAGTGTTTACTTGTCCCCAAAGTTAGGTCAGGTTGTGGACAAGGTGGGTAATAATGGCAGATCATAAGCAATGTCTTCAAACAATCCATGCTCTTAAGGATATCAGATCTCAAACCTAGTGCTTCAGAGAGAAGCTCAAAGAGCAAACTACCTAAACTCAGCACATGCTTTGAGTATTCGATCATAGCCTCCCTGAGCCAATCAATGTTAGAAATCAATCACTCTAACTCTCCTTCAAATTAAAGACATATTTTCTATTCGAATCTAGATAAAAACCACATCAAACCAAATTTATTTGTTCGGTTTGATATGTCCTTAATTTGAAGGAGAGAGAAGTTAGTCTGTTTCCCTTACCTGCAAGCAACTGGGAGTTCTTCAGGAGTTGGAGGATCTGGAGCCATGAAACAAGAGATAGAATCTCTCCAATTAACAGACGACGAAGAACCGTATAGATCGAAATTACTGTTGTAGACAACTTTCTTCTTGTCGAAGTCTCGCGAAAAGTATGTTTTCTTGACCTCAGGATCTTCCTCGTGAAACCTCCGGACTCCATCTTTCATCTCTTCAAGAACGTTTAAAGGAACACCATGATTGATCACCTGGAAGAATCCCCACTTCTCCGCCGCGTACCTGACTTTCTCCACGACTGCTTCACGTGACGCTTTGTCCACGTGGACTCTTGCCAAGTCGATGGTAGGGATCTTTAGGTCTGAAACAGAGACAGAGGGTTTCTTGTCGGTCAAGGAACCTTGAGGGACGTGGAAGATACGAGGTACTTCGGTGATTTTAGCGTCCACGAGTCCTTTTACTCCTTCTTTCGTCTCATCGAAAGCTTTTCGCTCCGTATAAGAATCGAATTCCATCGATTTTTTTGCCAACATTATTTGTTTCAAGATTTCTCCTTAGAAGAAGATGCAGCAAAAATGAAGATATAAATCGGCTGTGGCTGGAATTTGGTCTTTGTAGGACCGACTATGTTCGTTTTTTTGTCTGGAATCTGACTGTTACGGATGATTGATTACACGAAGTGTGTCTGTCTTTCTCTCACTCAGTCACTCACACTGACTTGCCGTAGTTAAATTTTTCTTCTCCAATTTTGTTTTATGTTAATGACCAATTACTTAACGAAAACTTATTTTCAACTACACCAACTATTAGCTAATATGTTGCAAACCATCTGAAATATTGAAATGTTCTCTAAACTACACAGACTAATATATAATACATGGTGACATACACAAGGACGGTTCTGAACGTGAGCAGGATGTGTGCACAGGACCCACCAGTTTTTTTTTAATTTTTTTCTTTGCATTTTAGGGCCCAAAATTATTAAAAAGTTGCAAAAAGGACCCAATTTTTTTTTATAACTATATACTCCACATTTAAAAAAAAAATATTGGCACAGGGCCCACAAATTTAATAAGTCGCCCCTGGACATATACTAACTATATGTAAACATGTTAAAAACTACAAATTGGAGTTTTTTGATAATTTTTATTCTATTTTGGGATCAATGTGGAATTATTTTCTTAAAATATCATTTAAAATTCAAAAAAAAAATTGAAAACACACAAAAATCTGAAAAATAGAAAAAAGTCCATAATTTTTTCAAAAACTTAGATAAAATAATAATTTAATTTTCAAAAACCTAAAAATGTTGTAAAATCCCAAAATTTCTAAGATTAAAA